GGTTTTTTTTATACTTCTTCAATATAGTGATGAATGTATGAACACTTATAATATATATTTGTATGTAATTCTTATAAAAAATAAAAATATACAATATGTATGTATAAAGATATATAAAAAAATATATATGTTTTATATATATTAATAAAATTGGAATTTTATATTTTTTATATATTATACATATTATTTTATGCATATCTTTAAGTTTTAATATATATCTTTTCTTTCCTATTATTTAATTTAAATGTTTATTAGACCGTATTTTTTTATCTATGTATATTTGCCCATATAAGTTATATTTTAATAAGTTTCTTTTAGAATTTTTTTTAATAACACCTTCAATATTTAATATTTTTTTGGTAAGTTATAGCGGAGTGTCTATGTCAATTCACAACAATTTATATATGTCCGTGACTTTTTTTCGGTGTCTGTTTATAGTAACTTGCGTTATGATTTTTCATTTTATTTTTGTTTTTTAAATTATTTTTTAAAAAATATTGTGCAAATATTTCCTGAATTATTCAAATGTGTATATATATATATATATGTAAAAATTTTATGCATTATAATCTGATATATGTATGTATATTATAAAAATAAAGATGTATAATCCCATGTTTACATTTATATCCATATTATATATTAAGTTAAGGGCATCGATCTATATTTTTATTCCAACTAAAAAATTTCAATAGAACAAAATAAATATTTAACATGTATTTTCTTGGAAAAAAAATAATTTTAAAATTTTAAACTTAATAGATTAAATTTACATTTTCGAAATGGGTTATTTTAATTTCAAATTTTATCGTACAATTTAATACTTATTTAATTAAAATAAATTCTGTTTAGTATAACCCCAAATTTAAAGCATGTCAATGTTAAATCACAAATTCGTTTTTTCATTTGGAAATTTGTCAATTACTTGTATTTAAATTGGAATTAAAGCTTATGATAAAAGCGTTTAACAGAATGAAATGGATTAATTAAAATTTGAAACTTTTTATAAAACCTTTTTCTACAATCTACATTCAACGTCATTATTGACAAGACACCAAAATTTATTGAAACAAAATAGCTATAAATGTGATTTTATGACATGTTTATGTTATAATTTTTTAAATAAATAATATATATATATATATATATATATATATATATATAAAATATATATATATATATATATTATATATCAATATATAATATAGGATCCGATTATTTATTAAAAAGTATCGACATGAAAAAAAGAAAACAAATTTTTAAATACAATTTTTTGCTGTTTGAAAATGAAAATATATCAACGTTTGATTTTTTATGTCTAATAAATATTTCTTTAAAGTTTTTAAAATTTAATGTCAAAATTAAAACACAGATTTATATATAACAAATAATATATATAGATATATAAATTTTTTATTATTTATTTATATGTTGGATATTTATAAAATGTAAATTTATATTTTTTTCAAATATTTATTTTTATCCTCTGCCTTAATCTATGTCCTAAAGATATTGTAAAAACGAAAAATAAAAATATTTTTTATTCTTTAAAGGAATCATCAAATAAACATTTTCAACAATATTAAATATTTTTTTTATTGTTAACAATTATATTTTTTATAAATATTATATATATATATATATATATATATATATATAAATCCAATATATATATATAGAATATATATATAAATATTAATGTCATAAAAAAGTAAAAAATATCTTGTCCTGTTTCAAAAAAAAAAATATGAATTCATGAATTTTGATATAACAAAAATATTTAAACCAATTTCCAATAGTTTAGAAAACTATTGACATTCATTTTGAATGAAATAATATTTAAAACTCATTCAATCATAAAATTAAAATATCATTTTATTATTTTAATTTTTCAGTATATTTATAAACGTTTTTTTTCATATTAGATAATATTTTAATAATGTTTCAATCCATTTCAATATTTTAAAAATTCTCTCTCTCTCATTTCTCTCAAGTTTTTCTTTTCAACGAATATTAAAATTTATTAGATTTTAAAAACCATCAATCTACCTAAGATACGTTGATGATATTCTTATGTTAGTTAAAAATACAGATGAAATAATTCAACTTCAAAAACGGTTCAAAAATAATTCTGTCCTTAAATTAACATATGAATTCAATACTAATAATAAAAATCCCTTCCTTGACATATTGATAAACACAAATTCACAACAATTTTACTATTTCGCCAATAAAAAACCTATAGCATAAATTAAATACAAAACTACAAGAGCGAATGCCCATATTACTACAAAATAGCAATTATAAAGAATCTAATACATCGTGCAGAAAATAATTCATCCACAAAACAGATTTTTTTACAGTGAACTAAAGAATATAAAACAGACACTTATTAATAATAGCTTTCCAAACTATATAGTTGATGAACAAATAAGATGCTTTCTTAGAAATCTCAATAATAAACAAATTGTACATAATACTGCTTCTACTGATCTCAAATATATTAATCTCCTATATCGTAATCAAATGCATACTAATTATAAACAAGATGAAAATATACTAAAAAAATTTAGTAAATTCTAATATATCAACTACAGATCCTAGCAAAAAATTAAATTAATCATATACTACACTAAATCTAGTATATCCAACTTAATACTTTCGCAATGATTCTTCTCCCTCGGTTAGCGATTTGCAAAAAAACCAACATAGTTTATAAATTCAAGTGCCCTTTGGGAGAGTGTATCTCCAACGAATTAAATAATATTTATGTTGGTCACACCACAAACTCGCTTTCACGACGCTTGACACTACATTTTAATGAAAACTCTAACATTTTTAGGCATTTAAAACAACATGCCTGCCTGCACACACAATTCCGTAAAATACTTGTCGAAAACACAACTATACTTCGACATGAAAACAATAGACAAAAACTAAAAATACTTGAAGCATTATACATCAAACAGTTAAAACCCAACCTAAAACAAAATCAATTATGGAATCTCTACAAATATTCTTAAATGTCTATAATTGGTAACAGAAGCCATTGGTTTATACCAACGGCTTTCCATATTTCATTCTCCAATTCACTCTCGTGTAGTCATGTGTGACGTCATGAGATGCGGTGCGATTTTCGCTTCTAGCGTCTTATATGCGCGTGTTTATCGTTGCTTAGAAATCATCTATGTAAACAATGACAGACTATCATCACTGTCTTGTCCGTATATTGTTTTAATATGTTTGTAATTTACATCTTTGATAATGGCTTATGTAAGCCGAAAGCTTAGATTATATAAAAAAAATATGGATCAATATTGTGAATTTCTTTCTTCGTTTAATGATAATGTTATCAAACTTATCAGATGTTACGAACAAATTTTACAAAAAATAAATAGACAAATATTTTTGATATTATTATTTAAAAAAACGTGTATAAATATATATATATATATATCATATATGAATATATATATATATATATATATATATATATATTTGTACAATATGTTTATCATATTTAATTAATTATAAATAAATTCTCCTTTTTATATTTTCGTTTTTATTTTTTAAAGCCAAAATTATTTTATGAATTTTCATTTTTAAATATTTAAAAATTAATATTTTTAACAGTTTTTTTATGTCTTCCTTTTCTGTGATCGTATTTCTTCTTTTTTTTATTCGGTTATTCATTTCATTTACTTCCGCTTACATCTCTTCGTTCTCAGATATTTGTTTCATTTTTCCATTTATAGTTTTCCATTCAAATAAATTTGAACCTTATATAAAACAATATATTTTTCTTTCTTTTTAATAAAACAAAACCTTATTGTGAATAAATCATTTTTGTTTCTTTTCATATCTTGTATGGTTTAGCATTCCTTTGCGCATAAATAAAGCGATTTCGTTCTTCTTTCGTTTTCTTTTTCTTATACAGGTTTTATCGTTTCTTTTAGATGTCTGTTTCTTTTTTAAAAGCCAAGTTACTTTTCTTTTCATAACCTGATACTTTGTTATCATTTATTAATATATCATTCTGCCTTTTCAAATGAACGTAAATTTTTATCCATGATTTTTCTATATCATTAGGATTGTACCGTATATTTCAAAAACATTTAAATACTGTTAATTTTGTTAACTTTTTATATTGATTTTTTACCTTTATTTTCACAGTGAAAAAAAATTGTATCATGATTTGTTAAAAAACCTCTTTAATTAAAATAAATATAATTTATCAACAGCCAAATGACAGTTTAAATTATATTTAAGGGTAATTAGGTTCCTAAAATATGAGTTTCTTTATCAAATTTTAAGAATTCAATTAGAAGAAAATAGCTATAGATGAATATTTTGATATTATAAAAATAGAAAAAAAACAACAACAGATTTCTGTCTAAATTTCAGTGCAGGTGAGGCCCATACAAATATGAGAGATGTGCGCCAATTCTAAAAATAGACAAAACAGAGGGCCGACTAGTCGTAAAGTATCTGCAAAACAATGAAAATAAGGAAAAAAAAATTTAAGGACATGTGCAGACAGTCGCCGAGTTTTTAGATTTTCAATGCAACTGTGAAAATTTAAATGCGGAATTAATTTTTTTGAGCAACAGCACAGAATATGACACTGGTTCAAAAATTTTACTACTTATGTACTACTGTACTGATGCGGCATTCATCCTGGGCGGATTGAGCCGGCTTCTTCCTGTTATGAGAAGAAGATTCTTGGGATAAATTACAGAAGTAGGGTACCCAGGCCTACTCGGATAACGTTCTTGCTTGCCGCGGGGTTCCCACAGACGCAGAGACAGGAACGACCAGAAGCCGACGGTTACCGATGCAGACGCTCCTTGGATTTTCACCAGAGCCCTTGTTAGCCGGCGTGTGTGTCAGACCTGTCCGGGAAAAAACCTTACCAGGAAAAAAAGTTCCGGGGGCATAACTCTGACACTACCGTTTACACCCCCCACCGACTGTGAGGTAAGGGTTGGACTTTGGTTTTTTACAGTACCAGGTGTTCCCAAGCGGTCCCCCATCTAAGTACTGACCTGGCTCTACGATGCTTAACTTCGGTGATCGTACGAGAACCGGTGTTTACAAAATGACAATGACCGTAAGTCAAGTAGAACCAATTGAACCACTTCATTAACTGTTGAAAAAAGTTGATGTTTTTTACCATATGATTTTCAATGAAAGACATCATACTGCCCAGCAAGTAGCTAATCCCATAGGCATTAGTTGTGTTTCGGTCCATACAGTTTTAACAGATCTTTGTGAGGAAGGTCTTTACAAGATGTGTCCCAAGAATATATAAAAAAGGTTTGATACTTCCAAGATAATTTTGACACGCATCCAGGCTAATCCTGACAATTTCCACCGGAGATTAGTAACTCAATGTGAAAACTGTGTTTACCATTCTAACCTGAAACAAAGTATCAAAGTAAATGCTAGTCAAAAATTAATAATAAAGGATGTCAAATGCATTATCTAATAAAAAATGAAAATTATTTTAATAATAACCAACAAAGCCTAGTAATAATTAACAGTGCTTCATCGGATTAAAAATGAAAATGATTGTAAATACTTGTCGAAAATTAATATTGATGGCTGTCAGTCATTCACCCATTAAAATTGGCGATGAAATAAATGAATATAAATATTTTTTAGTTTATATATATATATATATATATATATATATATAAATATATATATAATCATAAATCAAAAAAATTTGAATGGACCATGGAAATATATAAATTATAATAAGTTTCATTTTTTTTTGTTATATTCATCTCTTCAGACAGAATAATTTTTAAAAATGGAACCAATGCATCCAGACAGATATACGGAAGAAAAGCGGGAAAAAGATAGAGAAAGAAGAAGAAGAAAAAGAAAAAAAAGAACAATATAATATTAATAATGGAAAAGAAAAGAGGTAAAAAATGTTTAAAAACAAAATAAGATAGAATAAGAGAGAGAGGGGAAAAAATAAAAAGAGGATAAAGAAAGGAAAGAAGGAAGAAATACATGATGAGCCAAGAGCAAAAATAAATAAAAAGAATAACCTATAAAAACTATTTTTTGAAAATGGGTTGAACAAGTATTTACACCCGATATCTAAAAGAATTTTTCATCAATCATCAAATAATAATACAATCATCTGTAGGATGAGATGAATATAACAATATTCATGAAATAAATTCTAACGGATATGGATTATTAAAATGTTTTATATTTTATCAAATATATTGCTCTATATTTATATGGGGCACTGTATTGGTTAAATTCATTTTGAAATAATTAAAAATATAAATTAAATTATTTACTTTTATATATATATATATATATATATATATATATATATATATATATTCCTTGAATGTAAATTTGTGTGTAAAATGAAAAATGTGTTAATATATATGCAATCTGTTATTGAATAGAATTTATTTGAACATATAGCATTTAAAAGAAAAAAAATATATTCAAAAATATTAAATTTAATCTTGAATAAATATAAATGATTCTATAATTTTTTATATATTAAAATAAGTAGATGTAATGTCAAAAAAATTGTCACATTTTTGAGAAAAGAAAAAAAAGTTTTTAGGAAATTTTGTTTTAAATTTTTTTTAAAATAATAAAAAAAAGATAAAAAAATTTTTTTAATTTCAAAACTTTAAACCATTATTTCAATTATTTTATTTTTTTAAAATAAAAAATTTTCATTGAAAAAATAATTTTAAATACAGTTTCCATAAAACAATTTATTGAATTACAAGAAAAAAAAATTTTTATCGATATTTAATTTTGAATTAAAAAAATAATAATAATAATAATAATAAAACTATCAAAACACAATAAATTTGAAATCAAAATCAATTTTATTTAAAAATTTATAGAGAAATTAACAATACCAGTTGAAGTTTTAATTTAACTCATTGAATTAAAAAAAAATATTATGGAAAATGAATTTAATGAAAATACTTTTAAATTCCTAACCAAATTTATTAAATTAACGACATTTACGAAATATATTTATCTTTAAAAATAAATGCGATTTTTTGAAAACTCCTCAGTTAAAAAAATAATATGATTAAATTCTGAGCGTAGATCTCTGGTTGGGACCATAAAGAAAAAAAATTTAGAAACACCAAAATCAAAAAGAAATAAAACAACAAAATAAAAAAATAATAATGTAATAATAATAATAATAATAATAATAATGCACACAGACCCGGAAATTGAAAAATCCAATAAAAAAGTTTTATGGGACTTTACAATACAAAAGAGAGAACAATCAAAGCTAATCAACAAAACATTGTGATTCAGAGAAAGCAAAGGCAAAATGTGAAAAAATATTTGAAAAAAAGTCCCTGCAGACTCTTTTAATGTAAATTTTGAAAATCTTCAAAAAATATAAAAAAAATAAAAGATTTTGAAAAAAAAGAAATAAAAATGAGGAAAATAAGATTATAATCAATTCCTATTTAATTGGAGCACTCGGATTGATTTAAAAAAAGATTCCATTAGGCATGTAAAAAGAATCTCTGGTAGCCTATTTAAAAAAATATAAAAAAAATAATAAATTTTTATGAGACATTAAAAGGGCTTTATCTATATAAAAAATAATGATCTTAGGCCTTTTTTTTAGAACGACATAAAAAAAGAATGCTCAGTGGAAAAAATATTATGATGTCATTTTCTTGACCTTTAATGTCTCTGGTCAAATATTTTGAAAAAAATGATATATATGGGAAATCAAAGATTTTAATAATAAATAATAATAATAATAATAATAATAATAATTAATAATTAATAAATAGATAAATAAATAAATATAAAAAGAGAGATATAATTTTCTCATCAGTCACTTCGTTTGCTTTCTGATAGCTTCCGCCAATTTACAACTAATTTGCCTGTTCCAGCATTGCAGAAGGCATCTGGTTTCTGTTTTAAAAAAAAACAAAAATTAATAAAATAAAATGTAATTTATTGAGTTAATCAAACGTTAATAAAAAATGATAAATTCTATTTCATGAAATGTTTCTACGTCGCAAGTCCAAAATAGTATGTCTAAGCTAGCTGTGTAGCAATAATAATGTGAGTCGACTTCCTGACATTGAAAATAATTTTTCCTTTCACTGTGACCATTCCACAAAATTAATTGCTCAACACTCAATAAAAGTTCCCCATTAAAGACTTTTTCTAGCTTCTAGCACTTATAAATACAAAACTCTCTTTGAATCAAAAAAAAATATATATATATATATATATATATATATATATATATATATATATATATATATATATAATTTCAATTAAATATATATATATAATTTACAAATTCATGAATCATTCAAAAAACAAATATAGAGGTTAATGATTTAAATGGCGAGAATTCATCGTCGCAAACAATATAAATAAGATACATCAACCCCAGAACCTGTATATAATGATATGATCCCTGTTTATAAAAACAGTTGCATAAGGTTTTTTAATTTTTACAAGCTTTCGTCTGTTCCTACAGACATCATCATTTATGGAAATAGATTTTGTTCTTTGTTTTTACTTCTCAGTAATAAGAGGACAACGAAAAATAGAGATGCAATCCGAAAAATGCTATGAGAAATGTGTTATTGTTTTGGAGAATGCGGGTCGCAACGCTGAGTTTGAATTTAAATTTTAAGGTTGTGCGTTTTTGTACAAATATAGCAATAAGAGAATTCTTTTTTAATGGTTGATTTTCCGTGAATATGGCATGAACTATATCGTTCAATAATTACAATAATGTCACACTTATTATACTTTTAATTGAAATTAAAATAACTGATCCAATTTCAAATAAAGGTTTATCTAATTGAATAAATTTATAAATATATACCATATTTCCTTGATATTTTTCCCTTATAAACAATTTTTTTTTATTTAGGCCACTATATTTTATAAAAGAAAAAATTTGCCATACAGGATGGACAGTGATAATTATTGACACTTTTCTCCTTAAAATTTAAAAAAATTAAATAAATTTATATCATGACAGTTAAGATTAAATGAGATACGAATAAATCATCTACCCACGTCAACATTTCTTTCTCCAACAATTCGTGGTTTCAGTAACAAGTTTAGGATATTTTTTCTTCAAACTTTCTTTGATATTGCATTTTGCAAATCGGATATTAAGTCTTCTATAGCTACGAATGAACTTTCTGTTTTATCATTCATATAATCGAACATTGTCTAGGATACATATCTTTTTAATCGGTATCACGCCATGCAAGGCAGTAAAGCCACTAAGACACAAAAGGTTACAGGGTGTAGAAGAATTAGGACCAGAAACATAAATAATAAGCGGGAAGAGAAAAGAGCAATCAGGATAATAGATAGTGATTGACATTGCATTTAAATTTTTGCAGATTAAAGTTATAATGGATGTTAGTCATGAAAAATTTGAGTTCAAATTTAAGTTAATCTGAATGAAAAAAAACTCTTAGTATAGAACTTACGGCAACATGCAGCCAAGTCAACTGTAAATTGATGAAATGTTGAATGGATTTTGATTTTTACTGCAATTAAATTTTAAAGATTAAACATTTTCATATCAAGAAGAAATAGCCCATATCGAACAATGCCGAAAATCATATATTAATAGAATATTTATATAGATAGATGGGAAAATTTTAAAGAATAAAGAAATTTTCCTACCTTTCAGGACTAATACATGGCTTTTGTGTTGACATCTGGGAAAATATTCCAATTACAAGGGAATTGTCTATTGAGAAAACCGGATGATTTTTAAATGCCACTTTGACTATTTTTAAAAATTTAAAAAGTCAATAAATGAATTTCATTAACACGTTTTATAATAAAAAAATATAAACTGTTAAATAAAATTATTTATAAATGCTAAAAAAAAAGAATAAATAAAACATATCTTTTCGTTTTAAAATTTGTTAATCAATTCTAATGATATTGAAATTGCCGGTATTCAGACATCCAATATTCTGAAAAAAATCTCTCATCAAATAAATAAAAAATTATACATTTTAATATTTTAATAAGAATTTATAATTATTTTTTGACTTGAGATTTTTTCCTTAAAACATCTGGCTCTTATTAAAATTTCAATCTTATATTAAATCAAAGAATTATATATATATTTATCCAATGATATTAAATTGAGTCGTCTCTAAGAAAGATTGGAAAACAATATTTTTTTTTATTTTAAAATATTGATTTGGGATTCATTTCGTGACTTTCTTCACAATGCAACTTGGATGGAAATTCAATCTAAATATAAAGTTAAATTTTTCCACTTAAAATTTTTGCTTGATCATGTAAAAAAGAACATAAATACATTTGTGCCTTGTCGCAAATACCAAATGAAATCAAAATCTATTTCTTGTTCCACAAAATTTGTTTTTTATAATAACAACTTTAATAATCAAAAATTGAAACAACATATATAATATATATTATTCAGGAAATAAAATTTTACATGTCCTCAAATTTTTTTTTAAATTCTTAATTCTTTGCATGTAAACATGTCTTTTATTACATCACTATCTGATCAGCCAATTGATAGGTTTAATTACTATATAAAAAAGAAAAGAATGCGTGTGATATAATATAATATTACAATTTTATTAAAAAAACCTTTATTGGATCATCTTGAAATAAAAATTTTCAATTAGAACGAAAATCGTGATGAATTCTGTTATGCAAAAATTTAAACATCCGACCATACATTTCAACATTCTATAAAAAACTGCATCGTGGATTTTATAATATCCATATATATATATATATATATATATATATATATATATATATATATATATATATATATATATATATATATATAAATTATAATAAATGCAATCAATTTACAAATACATGAATTATTCACACAAAACTAATGCAAAGGTTAATGATTTAAATGGCGAGACATCCATCATCGCAAACAATTCAAATAGTATACAAAAACCTCCAGATCCGTTATGAATGAATTGATCCTTGTTTATATAAATTTCTGCCGTATTAGTTGTTATTTTTTACTACAAGCTTTCGTCTGTTCCTACAGACATCTTCAGGTATAGAATAGATGTTGTTCTTTTTTTTTTTCTTAGTAATAAGAGGACAAACGAAAATATATGTGTTGTTGTATCCGAAAATGCTATTGAAAAGAGTTATTGGTTTTGGAACGCGCCAAAGCAACGCTGAGTTTGATTTTAAATTTTTAAAGTGTTTGCGTTTATACCAAAAATGAGGCAGAAATTTTATAAACAAGGATTTGGAAAATTCATTAAATAACGGAAAAAAGGTTTTTGTATACTATTTGAATTGTCAATGATGATGGATGTAATGCCATTTAAATCATTAACCTTTGCATTATTTTTAATATGTGATAATTAATTTATATATATATATATATATATATATATATATATATATATATTTATATATAAAATTTGTAATGTGTTTGTGTGTGTGTCTTGTGTATTAATTCATTATGTATATAAAATAGAAAATGTTTCAAAAAAAAAAATATAATAATGTTTTATTTTATGAAAGTATTTATTTATTTATATATATATATATTTGATATTTCAGATTGCCCTCAATCTTTCAGAGAAATAAAAAACTTTTGTTACAATTAAATAAAAATGACTGTTTTTTTTAAAAACGGGTTTGTTTCCGTCATGATGAAGAGAAACGGACGAAAACGTGTTATAAACGTCACTGTAATCGGATATTATAATAATGTAAATCTGACTTAATTTTTTATAATAAATATTTTATATGTTATTAAAAAAAAATAAAAAAAAGAAAAATAAATTGACCATTGGAGGACACGAACAGCATAATTGCTCAGGTTTTTGTTTTCAAGACCTGATTGTTATACTGTGTGAATATAGATAGAGACTACCAAATACTATTATTTATAGATTTGTTTTTTTGTTTCAATAAAATGGACTTTTTTGCTTTCAGTTGGAATAGCAAAAAAGTAAAGGCAGAACTGAATAATATTGAACTATCCAGAAATATTTTTCTCATTTGGCGAAGGCTCATTAGAACAATCTACAGTTATTGGATGTACTGATTTAAAAAAGTTCATTGCCAATATTTGCCCATTTATAAAACACAAATAAACAATTCTTTATTTTATTTCACGGAGTATATAGCTCCCACTACCCAATATATACAAGTTGTGATAATTTCTTCCGATGGTAATTATTTTTTACCTGCCTGTTGATAGCGGTTTAAAGGGCGGTAAGGTTTATCTTTCATAATTGCATATATATATTGTTCAAAAATCTATAAATTTTTTTCCGAGCAAAAAAAATAATGTTTCATTACCCAAACCCATATGTTCATAGGTTATAAAAATAATGAAAAAAAAATAAATACAAACGAAAACACGCAAAAACAGAACAACAATATTTAATATATATATATATATATATATATATATATATATATATATATATATATTACATAGAAGAGGTTTTTAATCAGATCGGCATCAATGTGAATATATATATTATCTATAAATTTTAAAGAAAATATAAAAAAGAAAATTTCATTATTATTATTTTTTTTTTCTGTAATTTTTGTTTTTATTTGTTATCAAAATAACACTTTAAAATAAATATATTTCGATTTGCATTTATTTTTTTCATTTCGGATATTTTTTATTGAATTTTTAAAAAAAAGAAAATAGATTAATTGATGATAAAAAAAAAAAAAAAGTATTTACATATTTATAGGAAGAACTAATACAGTTTATAATTTTTGAAAAGAAGGATCAAACATTCATTTAGAGGTTAGTTTCTAATAATGCATTTTTAAAAATTTATTAAAAATCCTATTTCGTCATTTTATTTTATTAACTTATTTTTATATGAATGATTAATTTTAATAAAACTGCAAATCACTATATATATATATATATATATATATATATATATATATATATATATATATATATATATATATATATATATGTGTTGTCAAAACGGTAAAATACAAAATTCAGGATGGAAGACAAAAATTGTTATATTAATGGTGGAATAGAACTTCAAAACTGGGACATAAATTTTTATATATAGACAGTGTTGGACAAAAAATAAAGCCGTCATCGTCAGTGTCATTTTCACACTCCAAGTAATCTTCAAACAATGTCTTACTCTATTGGTTTAGTCATAAATAGAAGAGTGATTATTTTTGGAATTATTTTCACCGAAATTTAAAATAAAATCTAAATTATATTTAAAGGGGGGTTATAAAATTAAAAAAACAGCGAGGAACATCAAAAAAAATCATTCAAAAAAGAAAAATTAAGATTAGCGTTAAAACTTACACCTTTGAAGATCGTAATTTAAAATAAAATAAAAATATAAAAAAGTTAGTTTATATATATAGAAAATGGTGATTTATAAATTACGTCATCACTTTTTAAAATTTTTCTCTCTCTCTATGTTTCCCTCTCTCTCTCTCTCCCTCTTTCTAAAATATAATATATATATATATATATATATATATATAAAATAAATATATATATATATATATATATATATATATATATATTCCTAGATGATATCTAAATCCTGAGGAGAAAAAATTCTGTCAGGGCTGAAGAAAAATTTTGACAAAGGTTATGCTATGAAATAGATTAATTATATATAACATGACGTTATTTTTGATTTTTTGGTATAAACACACACACATTATACATATATATATATATATATATATAATTATTTATTTAAAAAAAATTTATAACATAAACATGTTATAAAATCAAACAAAAAAATAGCCATTTTGTTTCAACACCCTCAGTGTCTTATCAATGATGATGTTGAATGTAAAATAAATGGTTTTAAAAGTTTCGAATTAATTAACAATCCTTCACAAGGGGAAACCGTTGTTACAAAAGCTAGATGGACCAATCAAAATACAAGTATAGAAAAATTCAAAAAGCTTGACAACGAAGTCATGTTATAATAGCTATTCAGATGTTTAAAATATGGGTAGTATTAAAAAAGAATTTATTCTAACCAATAATTACTAAATTATATGATAAAATTTAATATTAAAATTAAAAACTGCTAATTTCAAAATCAAAATTTAATCGCTATTAAGTTTACGACTATAAAATTACTGAGGAGAAAAGAAGAAATATATATGTTATTCAATTTATTTCTTCATTGAAGTTACTTTAGCTAATTTTATATCCGGTCCTTTGACAATGTATATATCTTAATCCTAAGAGTGTGTGAATGGGGTCCTAAACTCACGCGTAAAACAAACATATAGGTATAAAGCATTCAAAGTTACTGAAGTAGGTGTCTTCATCAAATACCGAACAACTGGTAAGTGTTCCAAGCTTCGTCGATTAGATCAGTCCCCAAAACAGTCTTCACATTCATAAGAGACTTGCTTTAAGCTGATGACTGTGGCGTCATCACCCCTTCTGCTGTAGATCTACAATTTCTCATGAATTATTTCTCTGCAGCTTCTGATTTTTTTTTTGGCCTGACAATTAGCTCGAAGAGGACCATAGTAATGTACCAACATGCACCGGGAAAACCCGTGTTACCGACTTCAATTTATGGCAAAGGCAATAAATTGGAGGGAGTTGATAGTTGTGTATACCGGGGTCGTACACTCTCAAGAGATAACACCCTTGATGAATAGATGTGCACGAATAACAGAAGCATTTGATACCTATGGCGAGCTTTGAGCCAGACTCTGGTCACAAATATCCAGCACCAAATAGAATGGGATTTATCATGCCTGTGTCTTAAATATTTTCTCATACAGTGTGAGACCTGGAAGACTTACTGAAGACGGATCGAAAGTCTGAAACGCTTCCATGAACGGTGTCTCCTTAATTATGAAAAATGTTATGGCAAACTTACACTCCAGACACTGTGGTGCTTCGAAGAACAGGTTTCCCCAGTTTTGAGTCTATTATCATAAAACACCGCTTTCGTTAGTGCGGGATGATTTTTGCCTTGAGAACAGTCGGATGCCTAAAGAAGACATGTATGGTGAACGTTGAGATGGCAAACGACCAGATTGTAAGCCACGAAAACGTATTAAAGACAGCCTAAAGGACTCACTTAAGAAAGAAAACTCAGACACTGGTGAAGAAAGCAAAGAATGCATGCGGGGTAGAAAGGGCGAGTCTTTGAGGAAAGAAGGTTTGAAAATGCAGAAGTTAAGCTTGCGTCTAGGTATATGGAGGAATTTATGAAATGGACAAAGTATGTTGTTATAAATATTGCATTTACTTAAATATTTGTATCTATAAAAAAGAATATATAAATTTAAAAATGTCTTAAAATAATTTTCGGACTTTGTCCATTTTATAATGTGTGACATCATTTGTTTACATTTGGATACACTTTGAGCAGATATGAATGTACGTGAGAAAATCATGGAAAATTGTAGTTTAAAAAAGTAAAATCGACCTCGCTAACCGCAACGCTCTTCTGTGGTGAAATCGATGAAGGCACATCAGACTATATGACGGTTCCGTATAGGATACAGGTTCGATTTCTGTCGGAGGACGCATATTTTCTATGACAATTTGTCGGACATTCAGGCCGGTAAATGTTGTTAATACTGTTTAATATAAACAGAGCATTTATTTAAGTACAGGGCTGTTCGATAAAAGTGACTCACCTGATTTTGTTTTTTATTAAAAATATTTTTGTCTATCGTTTTTGGGGTTAAAATAATTTTTAATCTTACTAATATAAAGACCTCTTCCCGACCACCCAGGAAAAAAGTTTATTCACCCTAAGGTATTCTATTGATGATTATAAATTTGGATATAAATGAGATTCAGGAAAAAACTCTGTGCAAAACAATAATTTTATTGAAATGCAATAATAATCAAATGATAACTGTGACAATCAGTTGCAAAAACATTTTAAACATTTATGCTTTGGGGGCTAGTAGCAAATAGGATATTAAAACAACGTAGAATCGCTACATAATTGCAGTCTGGTTTCGACGCTTACCAATGCGTCTCCTCAGTCGATTGTAAATTATTGTTAAGTGAACGTTTAATTTGGTTTCTAAAAATACACCTTTTGTTTTAAAAACAAAAATTATAAGGTTTGATGGATTTACCCTTATCAACCAATTTAATATGACCTATGTTCGATTCAAACTGAGCGAAATAAATTCTTAAAAACGTTTCTAGGAAATGTGTCATGATCCGGAGTTATTTACCAAAAGCAGCCAAACAATAAATAAAGACTGCTACAGATGGCAACGTAAAGTGTATACATGCCAGATGGTCAACTTTCCCAATAAATTAAACCAGAGTATACAGCTATTTTAACCTAGTGCAATTTTTTTATACATTTGTGGATTTCCAACATATTTCTTTTGTAGTTGATAAATAAGATATTTCTTTAAAAAAAGACAAAAAAACTAGTAAATAATGCAAACTTATAGAATTATTTGGTAAATTGATACGCAAACGTTAAATAAGGATCATCCATATAAGATATTAATAATACTAACCAATCAATGTAAGATGTTAAAAATACTAATTACCAATGCATCATATAAGATATTAATAAAACTAACAAGAGATTAATAAACAGCTATATTAAATACTAATTAATCTTACAAATACAAAATAATTATATGGTGTCACGCTGTTAAACTAAAATATAAGAAAAAATCATTATCAAATTCCAAAGTTCAACTAAATTGTAAGGTAAAAAGGTAAACTATGTTTACAATTTGCGGTTAATTCACCCCTTTGATTTAAAAAAGAATTTTGTCGTTAAATATTATATTTTCTAAGTTTTCATGTAAACACAGAAAACATGGTTCATATAACGATCTACATGTTCTTGCCATTTTTAAAATTTTCCGTTTCACCATAGTAGTCTTATTATCATCTTTTAAGATAAAAAAATATTTAGAAAATGATGTATTAACTTTTATATATATATATATATATATATATATATATATATATATATATATATATCATAACTTAGAGTGCTTGTGTTAATAAAATAATGCTCGAGATAATATAGCAAGCCTATTAAGTATATATTAATAATTATACATATTGTCAGTAAACGGTAACACGCCTCGGAGTTTCATGCACTAAACAATCTTCAGTTGATTGAACCTTATACAGTCTAAATTTAAATAAAAATCTCTAGCTAAAGCAATGTTGTCTCTTCAATATATTATACAGAGATTATGGTTTTTTATTTTAAAAATATATATTACATTTAAAATAGATGGGATTTTCATTTTATATTTAAAATAGAGAGGATTTTTATTTTATAATTAAAATAAACAGGGTTTAGTAATTTATTTAATATTTAGAATAAACAGGGGTTAATGCTATTCGTTAAAAATATATTAAACCGTACGGACCTAAAACAATAAATTATTTAAAGTTGAGTTTTATATTTTATATCAAACATAAAAGGAGATTAATGTTTTGATTTTGAAATTGTAAAAAAATATATATATAAAGATAAACGCACATTAAAAGTAAATTATAATAAAATAAAAAAGGGAAGGCCATAATTTACAATAAATATTAATCTGGATCAACATATTTCAATAGATATTTATTTTTTAAGCTTATATTTGACCGTCATTTCATTTCTCTTGTTTAATAAATTAGGGTTATTTAAGTGTTATAAGATAACTAATTTTTCCACAAGTCATAAATTACACCTACGCCTTTCCTATTGTAAGATTAGCTTGTGCTACAATATCCCACGTAATAATGGGTGTATTTCCACCATTCTTTTACTGCTATTAATATTTTAAAAAACAGCTGTGTTTATATGGTTTATATTATCTAATGTCATTCGATGATTGTAGAACGAAATTCCCAGGGATTTTGAATGCAAACAAAGTAAAATTCGACATTGTTACCAGAATATATGCTAGCTCGGTATACAATATTCTCAGTCATACATTCCCCGGTAAAGCGACAACTCGTATATGTTATTTTGATTCGATTATAGTCGTTTTTTAGATGATACACGGGCTTCATTTGACTCTACCGTTTGTTTATATTGTTAAATTAAGAAATTAATGTTCACCCGTTAATAAACTGAGGAGGTTAAACTGGGAAATAGCTAACACAATGAAGCAGCATGGGGAAATCAAAATGACACGTGTCGATCCAAATCTGTGAAGGGAAGTTGGATAGACAAAGCAGTTACAAGGAGCTCTATGTTGATTCTTACGCCGAGTGCGGTCAGATATATATGAACAGATTGAAATACAGGAACAGTTTCAGAAATAACTATATTAATATAAATTGGATGTGTTCGATGCGAATAAAAGGAAATACATGGATCAATAGATAAATATGAACAGACTTAAAGAGATAGATAGATAGATAGATAGATAGATAGATAGATAGATAGATAGATAGATAGATAGATAGGAGAGAGAGAGAGAAATAAATATTGAGAAATAGCTCGATAGATAGATAGATCATTCGATGTGACTTGAAAGATATACAAATATAAATAGAATGAGATAGATGGATAAATGGATATATATATATATATATATATATATATATATATATATATATATATATATATATATAAAAAAAATATATAGACATATGACGATAACAAATTAGATCTAAATACAATGAGTTATATATGAATATGCGACAGAAAATTACGAAAACTGAAAAAAATATGTCTAGAACTAGAATTATATATATATATAGAGAGAGAGAGAGAGAGACATGAATCGAATGATATGTGTTCATATATATATATATATATATATATATATATATACACAAACATGTTTCATATTTCAGTCTCTGTTGTTATATATATATATATATATATATATATATATATATATATATATATATATAAATATATATATATATATAATATATATTTACACACACACACATATATATATATATATATATATATATTTATGTAATATCTATATATAATCATACAAAAAACACAGTTATATATGTATATGTAAATATATATATATATGAATATATATATTTACATATATATATATATATATATTTATTTAATATCTATATTACATAATATATATATAAATATATATATATATACCTATACACACACACACACACACACACACACACACACACACATATATATATATATATATATATATATATATATATATAGAGAGAGATTGAAGCAGTGAATCATATTTGTCACAATATTGATAATTCAATATCGGAATATCAATTAAGCCATGAATTTCTGATCGACTGGAAAGGGAAGTTTTAAACGACAATCTTTAGTTCAGAAATAAATCTGTATTGAATGAAAAAGAACAGCCCAATGATTTCTAACTTGCATTTTTTTTTAATGGTCGATCAAAGTTTCGAGATCAGAGGAAGATTTTAATTTGATTTAGATGAAAATAATAATTGTAAAGGCGCGGTTAAAGCGTACGGATCTAAAGAGGAATAAAAATGGCGGCGTCTCAAAGACGGAAAATAATTGATGAAAGGTCCTTAGTGATCACACACACGCACACACACACACATATATATATACTTCTGTGTAAGCGTATGCGATAACTTATTAGACAATTTAGTCCTTGGACAATTTACCTTCTAAGTTATGTCTATTCCACAAAAGGATATAAATATATAAATGTTTGATATTATATAAATGAAACTATTTCATACAAAATTCTTTCAAAATATTTTGGGTCCTCTGCGGAAGCATTACATACAAATTCGAAAACCCAAACGGTATTAAAATTTTAATTAAAGATGTCAATATGTTTCATATAAGAACATTTCTATAACAAAAATTAAAAAAAAAACTAACAACTTTACCGAAACAAATGACAATATGATACTTGAATAAAATGCATTCAAATTTATTTTGCAATTTCTTTAATAAAACCCACTTAACGTGATATTCACACCTAAATAATATCATATTGTGCTTGCTGCTGACTGCAAAGGTGAATGCTAATCTTAAGCCTGTCCCAGTTTGAACCTTTCCGCAAATAACCCATAATATTTTTGGGTTGTAACAGAGAGAAGGTGAAGAGACGTTTAGCATCATGGTGAGCAATGAAAGTGCGTTTGAATCAGTCTCATATTTAAGTTAATCCAGCGAATGAATTTGATCAACAGACATTTGCCGACATTTGATGAACGTTCATGGATATAGCAGTGTGAACACAGTTATACAGTAGATAATGTACACTATTTACTTTATTCAGACTATTGTTCTCATATTTGTCGCCATATTTATTACAACGTTTCGCCCCTTTAATATATGTCTATATTTCTATTCTCCTCACCTTTGTCGCCATATTTATCACAAAGTTTCAGCCGTTGTACGCTCCGGCTTTCTTCAGGTGGTTAGAATGTCGAACTGAACCCTTTATTTCGTTCACTTATTATCCCCTGTTAATTCCCCTCTCCAAGTTCTCCACTACGTTAGCCAGGTATTGAACTCACACTCTTTGGGTCCTGTCACTGTAGCTAAGCAACGCTTTTATCCACTGTGCCATGTGTCCTTGTGAATTCAGTATCTGGTTAAGGCAGTAGAGAACTTGGAGAGGGGAATTAACAGGAGATAACTGATAATTAACACCCATTGAACATGGCACATGCAACTAGAACAGACTACCCCAGTGAGCGAAATAAAGGTTTCAGTTCGACATTCCAACCACCAGCAGAAGGCCGGGGCGTACAATGGCTGAAACGTTGTAATAAATATGGCGACAAAGTTAAGGACAATAGTCCGAATAATGAAAATAGTGTACATAATACCTCATCTCGGAAATATAGACAGAGTAGGAAATGTGTTTCAGTTCTGGTTGACAGAAGGTACCGAGAAAAAAAACAAAAAAAAAACAAAAAACAACATATTCATTCATTGAAATGTGAACAATAAACCAGATTGCTTCTTTATTTTTACTGATAGAATGGATCAAAGTATCAAATATGCCATTCTCCTCAAGAAACCTTTTAAACATAACTACTTACAAATTCCAGCTCTACATCAGTAACCCCCTCATTACTCGAATGTCAGTGGATTTCAACACCAGCGTGATAGATGTCGCGTGATAGATGTCGCGTGAGCAGGATAGCTTTTTTTCATAGTGGTATATATACGCATACCGATGGACCCTCACTATTAAAAATACCTTGTGTCACGTGCTGATATTTGAATAGACAGATTTTCAAATATATTTCAAGAAAGGATCAGTGTAAACACATGCCATTCGGAATGTTCCTCTATCACCGACTGGAGTGGACATACCATACAAATTTTCTATTAAATATTGAATATCGATCTGCTAAAATGAAGATTTATTTATATTTGTAATAACAATTTAAATAATATGCGACAGTTTTGACGATATTAAAGTAATTTTTTAGAATTATAAGTGATGTATTTGCCGAAAAAGCCTTATTAAGTTTTGTTGAATTATTGTCTGTTACAAGTCTACATTGTTATTTTGCATTTATACTTAAAAATCAAATCAGTGGATGATTTCGGCTGATAATGGGAATAAAAGTACTGAAACATTTTTCAATAGTCCATAAAAACATTACTTTTAATCCAGTTTTTTGTCTAAAATTTTATCGTTTACTTAGTTATGCCTCAATAAATTCAAAAACATGAATAGAATCTCATCAATATTTTCACCGTTCAAAAACTTGGAAAATTATAATGGAAGACTCGCTGGGAGGATAGAGGAGCTCAAGAACATAGAAAAGAAAAAAAACGACTGAAGGAAAAACTTTCTGCGTTTGACTGGTTTCTTTTCAAACATTTTCGTAAAAGTGATTTAGAAACTTTTTCAAACAAAGCAAAAAAGTTACAAACAACATCAGCAACTATACTACTGTTGCTACTACTAGTAGTAGTAGGACTACTACTGATACTACTACTCCTAACAATAATAATAATAACATACACAATGCTGATAAATTAGCAAAAAAGAAAACGCCTCCTTTACCCTGTTACTGAACATATCATCTGGAAAATGCAGAAAAGGTATTTTAAAATATTGATTAAATTTTCCATATTTAACAAAGTTAATGTAAGCGGATATTTTTCAAGGTTTTGGATTAATCATTAAGTATATAACATTAGAACTTAAATATAATTAAAATAGGCATATTTTTAATTATACATACCTTGCACGTAATCAGAGTCTTTAATATAAACCACCAATAAAATATTCTCAAGAAAGGTGCTGGATTAAAAATATGAAAAAATAATACAAGAATAATAAAGGATTAACACTAAAGATTATTTCATATAGTTAATTATAAACGAGATGCGCTGCCTAATAGATAATGGATCGGGGAGATGAGTTCGATTTTCACTCGGGATAGTTACATTCACACATCGTTCATTTGGAACGGAACGAGTACATCTCTTGGGGTAGAATAACAGGAGATAATGACTGCTATAGCCTTTTATGGCAACCAGTCTATGGCAGAAAGAAACGGCAACGTAATGCGGGAAAAAGAATTTGTATAGACAGAATCAGTATGAATCGATAGACATGATTGCCGAATCGTATGGCACTTAGCTGTCTGAATGATAAAGACATGTTTGCTAAAAGAAATTGAATGGAATGAAAAAAAAAATGTAAATTCTTAGTCAAGTACAGTTACAGCAGTTAGTGATCCTTCACTTAAGCGGTGTAAAATTAACTAGTATTCCCTGAATTAATAAAGGTATATAAGTTTAATTATCATAAACTTATAGAGGGTAGTGTTGGACTATGCAGTAGACTATTCAGTAAAAAATGATGAAAACACGGTACTGTGAAAATACAATGGGTACAACGCTACAGAGGCTGTTTTTAATGAGCCTTTGTTTTGCTAATAATTGCTTAGCTCCAATAAGCACCAATCTTCTTGCAAAACTTATTATCGTGATAATAATTCGTTCTGATCAACGATTGGTCGTAATTGGTCTAACATATGGTATACCTATTTTTCGGCGTTTAAGTGAAGGATTACCCAACGATTCTTGTTATTAGCCCAATAATTTCAACTATAGCACATTTCCTTGGACGTCTTAAAGTGCAAAGAATTAAGAAGAGGGTTAAACGTCGCCATTGATACCTATTATAGACTCTATTGATTCATTCAGCTGATGTGATTTGTTCGATCATCTATTAATATTTATCAAAGAACTTTAGATTTTTAATGATAATAAAAATATTCAACAATCTTATAAAGATAGAACAATTAGTTTTTTTCGATGTAGTTATTTTATTTACCAACATACCACGAGATGAAACAAATTGAGATGAATAATTTTATCAGTAGAAAACTTTTGACCACCATCAAATGAAAATGTCAAAGTAATTAAAATGTTATTCAAGTTTCCACCATCTTCAATATTTTTATTATATAATGGGGATATCATGATAAATTGATGGAGTGTGAATGAGATCCCCTTTGGTTACGATTCTTGCTAATTTATT